CGACCAGCAATGAAGCAAGTCATCCGCTTGTATGACAACGCTCGGCCCCATGTTGCAAGAGCTCTTAAAAATACGCTGTGGCATCTAGAATGGAAATTTCTGCCGCACCCAGCATACTCACCAGATATAGCGCCTGCTGATTATCACTTGTTCAGGTCGATGCAGCATGGCTTAGAAGGCAGGTGGCTTCGAAATGCTAAAGAAGTGTGAAAATAAATCGATGATTGGATCTCTGCCAAACCAACATAGTTTTTTCGACACGGCCTCACCTTATTGCTAGAAAGATGAGAAAAAGTTGTCGAAAAAATGGGATATATTTTTATTAATTCATATTATGGCAATTTTTCTTAATAAATGAAAAATGATCAAAATACATGTAAACGGCTACGAAATAAAATATGGTTCCAGATCCCGTAAAGCTGTACGTCCTCTGCCTTGTTCTTTTCTGGCAAACACATTTTTTTGTATTTAAGGGCAGAATATGTACTTTATGTCTCTGCTTGTTTTTATTTTTAATTTGATCTTTTACAGATAGTTATTCCGACTTAATAATGTATATTAAACAGATGTACATTAAATGCCTAACAAGCGCGCAAATCGTTTTCTCGCGTAAAATATTCATCGAATCCTTTTCTCAGTAGCCGCAATATTAATGGTTGAGAAATATTGATATACAAAACTGCCAGAAATCTATTTTTTACTTTCAATAGTATCGTCTCATGTGCCGATCATGTGAACGATGGAAGAAAGTACAGAGATTATCGATACCGTTCAAAATTCAGTAACATGTTAGTAAAAAAATATTTAGTGAATACACATTCTTACACGTGCGAATTATATGGCGAATTCGATTTCGTAAGCCAAAGAAAGCTTAAGATATTTTTTAAAAAATAGTTAGATTTGTCCATACACTGAAGTACTACTATATAATTCATCCTATTCCTTGGAATGAAGTGCACTCATGTAGATTATGTGACTGCAAGCTCAAGCGAAAAAAAATATCTGACCAGTAATTCAGATAAATTTTAATCTGTATTCTTCTGTATCTTCTATTTTTTTTTTTTTTTTATGAGGAAAATTCAAGCCTGCACTACATGGTTAAAAATTTATTCATTTTGTTTGTTTTATTTTACTCATCTTATTCATTTTTTATTACTGTGGCATCACTGTAGTGTTTGTTGCTCCTATTAGATTTGAATACTGTATCTTTCTTCTTTACATTTTAATTTCGATATTGTATTTATTATCTAAGAAAGAAAGTAAATTTTTATAATATTTTGTTATATTAATAATAACAATGAAAGCGAAAACGAGAAAACAAAAAATAGTTATATTAAATTGAATAAGAAATAAGTAAGGAAGTGATATAAGTGAAGGGGCCGAATCTCACCTACCCACCATATAAACGCTTGGTCCACTTAAGATTATAATGTTCAAGAAATTGATTTCTTCTAAACTAAACCACAAAACTTTACATATTTAACGTCCACCATAGTGAAATTATGACCAACACACTTTATTATTAAGTATTTATTTTCTTATAAATATTATCAAATAAATCACGCCGCCCACCATCATTAATTTAGAATTAACGCACTTAACTTTTCTCATTCTACTCTCCAAGTTCGTTTATTTGATATCCATATTGCTGGTAATATTAAGAAAACCTAACCCACCACGTCGCGTTGTCTTCCATATTAATTTCAAAATTAACCCATTCTTAGGCAGTTAACATATCTTCATTTGGGAAATGTGCGGAGTAGTTTTAAGCATTCTTTCTTGCTTGCCTTATGATCAATAAGCATAAAACCTCAAAGAAGTGAAAAAAATGAAATTCAATCACTTGTAATCTTGTCTGAGCATAATATGTATATATATATATATATACTTTATTGGTTCCTTGAAGCCTTCTCTTGGGTGTTATATACATTATGAAAAAAAAAAAAAAAAAAAGAACGAAATGGATTTACCTCCATCCTATAGCGGTGGGTATATAAAGAATCTTCGCATAAGCACTCACTAAAGCAGCTTGTCATAGATGGCAAGCAAAATATTGACTTGGGCCAAGAGGGGGGAAGTATTTAAGATTCGCATTTAAGTCAATTATTTCCCGAAAGTTTTTCAATTGTTTTTATTTTTGTTTAATTTTTCATTTTTCTTATTCTATATCATATTATTATTATTATTATTATTATTATTATTATCAATACATTCAAATTCTTGGATTGCAATTAAATGTATTTGATGAAAAGGAAAAGAGGAAAACTACTTTGAAATTATATAGGCCAAGTTGTTTTCATAGTATATAAAATTTTTTTTTGAATGAAAGAAGAAAAAATTTTATTTTTTGTCAAATATCCGAAAAGAAAAAAAATATTTGAAAAAAATTCAGGTTTTTTCTTAAATATTTTCTTAATTAGATTAAATATTTAAAAATCTATACATTCGTGAGAAGTCTTTTCGCAATATTTTTTATATATGTTTTACGGTAAATCATCCTTGTCAACGTCGTTAGATTCATTAAATATGCCGGCACCGGAAACGAGATCAACCTATTCAAAATTACGATCATGCGCCTTATTTTTTCTTTTGATTTTTTGTTCGATCGTGCTTCTGTTGCGTTTATATTCAATACGCTATGTTGACATGCATTACGTACGCGTATTGCATTATGAAATGGAAAGAAATAATATTATGAATTATGAAGCATACAATCGATTCGGTAATCGAATCGAGCTGACAATGTGTGAAGAAAAAGCGAATGAACAGCTTATGCTCCTAAAATGGCTAGAGTATCAGAAATGGGAGGTTAATGATACGAATGTCAGTTTGGGCGATCGGTTTTCGAAGATGAGAGGCGACATTGAAAGATCATTACTTTATAAGGTGCTGCGTAAAATGCCCAAGGGCGCCGCTTTGCATGTCCACGACATAGGCTTGACCAGTGTTGATTTTATTGTAAAATGTCTAACCTACTATCAGAACTTGTGGGTATGTGTTGCTCATAACAAGGAATTGCACGAGTTTCAATTTTCACAAAAATTTTTAAACGAGACAAACGCTACCGATATGTGCACTTGGTATCCGATTAAAGAATGGCGTAGAATGCACGGGGCAAAAGTGGTCGATGCAAAAATAAGAGATAATCTAATCATAACTACGACTGATCATAAATTGGTCGCAGCACGATTGAAGGGAATTAAAAGTTTATTAAAAGGCTTAATAACATATGCTCCCGTTTGGGAGTTATATTTTGAACAAGCGTTCAAAGAGTTCATCGAAGACGGAGTGCAATATATAGAAATCCGTACCATTTTGCCCAGACTATATAATTTGACTGGGCACAGTTTGCCGCATTTGGAAACGTTAGCTGCTTTAAAAAGAGCATCGGAAACAGTTGCATTTTATAATGCTTCGTTTGTCGGTACAAAAATCATTTATACACCGTCACGTAACGTCAATGATAACGAAGTAGAAATGCTCTTGAGCGACGCACTAATCTTAAAGGTAGAGATATGATTTAAAAAATTTTAATCATACATAAGATGACTATAACTTTGTTGTTGTGCATTTTAGTTAGTGTTCAAGGATTACGTGGCTGGTTTGGATTTGATCTCTGACGATTATTTTTCTAAGCCCTTGCGCGATTTCAGTCAACGTTTAATATATATGCAAGACAGTATGGACTTTTATTTTACGGTCGATGACGTCTACGCTAATCAGTTAGACAATGATGAAAATTTGATTGACGCTTATTTGCTGGGCAGTAAACGTTTGCCATTCAGTTATCCTTTAATGCAACATCCGTACATATTAAGGCAAATACATCGTTTAAATATCGGTCTGGTCATAAATCCTATATCAATCGAGTACATGCAAAATTTGGGCAATTCACGATTTCATCCCGCCAGTATATTATTTACTTTTAACTTGCCTTTAATTATCAGTTCTGATTATCCCGGATTGTGGCAAGCCAGTCCCATAACGCATGATTTTTATCTAACATTTATGAAGATTGCTCCGCGCGAATCTGATTTGAGAGTTCTCAAGCAATTAGCACGTAATTCGATAGTACATAGCGCTAAGAGCGAAGCGGAAAGAGATGTAGCTCTACGCGTTTGGGAGATAATGTGGTCTAAATGGATATGTGAACTTAAGAATATGAACTTGTAAACGATATTAAATTTTGAAAGGAACGAAGTAGCGAGTAACCGGAGACGAAGTATTTGTGAAATTCATTATTATGTTTCGGCTAATATTATCAAAATTTTTATTTAGAAGCTTTTAATACATGTACACATATATTTTTGGCTTTTGTAATTAATCAAAATTATAAAATTTTCCCGCGTCTTCTTCTTTTTATTTAAACTGGAGAACATTTGTAGGAAAAAAAAAAAACGTATACTGTTGAGATGAGGAGCAATTGAATTGGAAATTGTTGGTTGGGAGATTTAAGATTTCAAGTCTGGCTCGATTTCATTTTGTTGCTAAATTAACAGATAGAACACCACCAACTTGCACATCTTTAATTTTCATTTTATTTTTCTACGGTACAGACATGTTCGCAAATACGTTTTTGCCGCAGCTCATCTGTATTGCGCAAACAATCGCGACCAATAGCGGCCGATGAAAAGCTAATTTTTCTAATCCATTAAAGTAACATACTTGAAGGGAATCATCACGGAATGCTAGTAAAAGGATTTTGTCATTGATAAATTTGTCTTTGCTTTACTAGAAGAATAGCTATTCGTAACCAAATATTTCTCTCTATTACTTGAGCTTGATGAAAATGTTGTGCTCGAAAGAGCGAATGGCTTAAAGAAACATGATGATGTATTCGTGATCGGGATAAAGCGAATTTATGGCTCCATCCTATATGATCATCAAATAAGTGCTTCTTCTTCTTCTTCTTCTTGAGTTTATAATGCATTTCCTTTTTATTTTAGATATTCGTGGATGACATTTAAAATTAAAAATGATCTCGTGATTTGAACTTGTGCAAAAATTCAACCTTAGAGCAGCAAGCTTTTGCTACCTTTTAAATAATCTGGTTGAACAAGGTCACTGAACCAATGCTAATGCCAAAGTAAATTGGCCAATAGAGTTCTGTTGCATGATCTTTACGGCAAGCTGTCATAGCACATTTCTGTACATTACACGATCGTTGCATTTTTGTCGTAATAAGTTGATCGTGCCGCCAGATGTATAGCATGTTGCAATTTTTTATGATAACCACGTGTCGTCGAAATCGACATTGGCTAATTTGTGCTACGAAAAATAAGTAGTCATGTGTCCGTTGGATGCTCCGTTGAAGGTGACTACAATGCCTTTGTCATGTTCGAGAGTGATGCGCCTTCAGCTCAGAAAGTGGTGTGGACCTAAAGGTTAATTTCGGTGCACGTACAAGTGTTCTTAGAAACATCAAATGTGTTTTTTTTTTTTTTTTTGCTTTCCATGAATGGCAATGGGGCAACGTCCGTTATTGACGAAGGCATAAAAGAAAAATATAAGCTTTATTCCATACATGTACGAAACGGAACCGTGGCTTCATTGTTGTCGTGATAAATTTTTGCCAATTTCTTTACGCCTTCTAACTATGTATGCATGCACTATATTCCATAAATAATGGAAACATTTAAACAATCCGAAGTGTGTTTTATCAACGTTCACTTTCGGAGCCACAAAAGTAGGGACTCTATATGTTCATAGAATATTATGGGCTTGTCAAAAACTAAATATTATTTATTTAAAAAAATAAATAAAAAAAAAAAAAAACAAACAATTTTTTAATGAACTATATTAGTTTCATACTTCATTATATAATTGATTTTCGTAAAACAATTAAGTTTTTTTTATAAAAGAAAATTAGAAAATATTTTGTTTGCTTAGATTTGCTTAGCCTTTGCCTTCCTTACCTTCCCGTAACGTACATATTCCGAGTCAAAAGAATGTCTCACGTTTCGTGATTTGGCCCATTCTTAGCATTCTGCCCTAAGAATTACAATACAATTGCATAAGCAAGTAATCGATGAGTAAACTTCGGAGAGTTCATAAACTGAAAACCTATCGTATAAAGTTTTCTTAAATGCTTGGAGATATTTTCCTTTTAATTGTTGTTAATCTAATAAAATGACCGAGTGCCATCGCGATATTTGACCTTACCTCCACTTCGTTTGCCTCACTTACGTACTACATCCAATAAATATGAAATATGTAAGCATACACTCTTATATACTATAGAGATGTAGGGTATTGGAATGATCGCTATTGATTGGTTTATATTATTTCAATGAATTGCGATCGCTTCGTAAGGCTGAAATATTTTCGTCTGCAATTTATGATAAGCTTTTTCGCGCGATATATATAAGCTAGCGTTTCATATCATATTCACTTATATACGTGCTTGTGTGAACGTGAATTTGTGTATACTTCATTTCAAATTATTAAATATTTATAACGTTTTTTATAGATAACAACAACGAGCGGGAACGTCATCAGGCCACTTTTGTTGATATTAAAGTTTTGGAACTTTCTTTCTTGACACGATCGAGTCGTGTGTGTCATTATCAAAACGTGAAGGGAACGGAAATTCTATTTTATGCCATCATTAGGTATAGCCATTTAAAATGTTTGCATTTAGTTGGTAGCAAAGCCTTAAATACGCAGCACCAGTGATTATAACGAAAAAACAAAATATCAAAAAAAATATCAAAAAAAAAAAACAAAAAACAAAAAACAAAAAACAAAAAACGAAACAAAGCAAAACAAGAAACAACAACATGAACTATTTTTGGTTTCTTTTTTCTTATATCCTATCCGAGGCGCATCAAATTAATACCGGCAAAGTAGTCTATAGTCAACCCAATGTTCAAGCATTAAATCCATTTGAATATCGGAGCACACCGGACGCTTACCATACGCTCCGTCAGGCATTCTTAAGCTATGAACAGTCCAGAGTTTTGGGTTACGATGTCATTTTGAATGCGAATGAAACGTTAGCCAACGAATTGATTATGAGAGTGAAAACGCAAGAATATGAAAAGGGTTTAGCTACACCGCATCTTTTCGCACCATCGCGGCATTTATTCAGTGTATTAGAAGAAATTAAAAAAAGTCATTTATTTGCGTTACTTTCAATGATGCCCAAAGGTGCTGTATTACATGCCCACGATACCGCTCTTTGTAGCACCGATTTTCTAATAGAATTGACTTACAGAGATAACTTATGGTTATGTCAGGATGCAAAAAGCTTGGAAATCTTCGATATGAAATTCTTTAAAACACAACCCGAAGATGCATTAAACAATAATTGTGAATGGGAATTAATGTCAAAAGCAAGACACACCTACGGAGCCCAAACGATTGACGATATCTTACGGGAACAATTAACTTTATATCCGACAGAAAAATTCATGGATAATAACGAAGCGTGGCAGCAATTTATGAAAATTTTCGGGCTATTAGATGGCTTGCTCTTCTATATACCAAACTGGTCAGATTATTATTATCACGCTTTAGAGGAATTTTATGCCGATGGTGTGCAATATTTGGAATTTCGTTCAACTTTACCAATTGTAAGTGATTAAAGTTCAATAATTGACGATTTAAGGTAATTTAAGTTCAAGTAGTAAAATTTCATATTTTGAATTTTATATATACGACACGATATAACACGACAAAATTATTAATTGCTTGAATTCTAACTAAAAATTGAACATAAATAATAGATGAAGAAAATTAAAAATTAAAAAAGAAGTGAATGATTAATAAACGTCGACACGTTCACTTTCCTGAAGCTAAGCGGATATGAATTTGTATTTTTATTTAGCCTCTCTCCACTTTGCGAATTCAATCATTCAATCAATTCATAAGAAGATCCGCGAAAGAGTTTTTTTTTCATTTTTTTCCTTTTCTCTGCAATAAATTTTATGCAATCGACATTTTGTTCTGAATTTATCAGTTCGTAACGAAATGCTATCCGACCGAAGCCTTGGACGGGAACAAGCATAAGGAAAGCATTTACTCTCGCACATGGCAATTTTCATTGCTTACCGCGTACGCTGCCTTGAAATTTGTTAACTACTTGTAGTAAAATGGGAAGGAATGCATAACGAAAAAGTCGCGGTGTCGGGTGTAACGCATGAATTCATTCGGTCGGTCGATCGGCCTTTCCGGCCTCCGTAATGGTTTCGAAGTCATTAACTGAACTTAACCGGAAATCCCGTTCCATTTGATTGGCAAAAAGTTAATTTACAACTAAGCGGTTTTGTATAGTAAGCCGCAGTATGTCGTAGATAAGGGCATGGTATCTATTATTACATCAAGATACGCGCATTATAAATTATGTCAAATATATTGACAAGTTTACTGAAGGTGTGTTGTCACTTGAAATATATATATTACATAGGATTAGTGATGAAAAGTGAAAGAAAATTATTTATTGTTTTTTTTTTTTTTTAAATTTTTTTAGCGGATAAAATCTTATATATATATATATGTAGCGTTTGATTTAAAAACAGTTAATGCTTAAATTGTGTTGTAAAAATTGTAATCCTTTTCATAATTTTATATCAGCTTTACGATTTGGATGGCAACAACTATACCGAAATGGATACAGTTAAGGTTTACAAAGAAACTTTGGATAAGTTTTTGGTAACGCATAATGAATTCATTGGTTCGAAATTGATTTATGCACCCATACGTAACGCTGATCAGAACGGCATTGAGCACTACATTAACGTGTGCAAAGAAATTAAGGTGAGTGGATTTAAATTCGGAATGAAGCATATATATTGACATATATTTATATGCATTTTAATTTTTAATAATTCGATAGAATTTATATCCTGACTTTTTGGCTGGCTTCGATTTGGTTGGCCAGGAAGAGTTGGGTCGTCCTTTGAAGGACTTTATACCGCAATTATTAAATTTAACTGAAGACATCGATTTTTTCTTTCACGCCGGCGAAACGAATTGGTTTGGTTCCACAGTCGACGAGAATCTCATCGATGCCGTCCTATTGGGTACAAAACGTATTGGCCACGGTTTTGCTTTAATCAAACATCCGATGGTCTTGGAAGTTGTAAAGCAACGTAACATCGCCATTGAAGTTAGTCCAATATCTAATCAAGTATTGCAGCTCGTATCTGATTATCGTAATCATCCGTGTGCTCATTTCTTTGCCGACAATTATCCGGTGGTGATTTCGTCAGATGATCCATCCTTCTGGAAAGCTACCCCACTTACGCATGACTTTTATATAGCTTTTCTTGGCATAGCTTCAGCGCATTCTGATTTACGTTTATTGAAGAAATTGGCCCTAAATTCAATATACTACAGTGCTATGTCATATGAGCAAAAGCAAATCGCTTTACAAAAATGGCAAATAAAATGGAATAAATTCATACAAACTCTTATAAATGACGACTCAATCAGTAATAGTGGCAGCGGCGGCATTATCTTAAAAGAACTTTTCAATAATAATATAGATTGACTAGGAGTTGCTTTAACTATCTCGTTAACTATATCGTTCATATATATTTTTGGAAGTTAATTTTTTAAGGCGGTCCCCTCGTGATAGGCATTCGATTTTCTTCTTGTTTTTTATTTACCTTAAATACTTTCATTAATAATAATACAAACACATATAACATATGTATAACAATAATATTAAGATTTTTCATAATTTACATAAAACAATTTGTTATCTTATATTGTATGTATGTATGTATATTCGATAAGAGAAATTGTACTTTAATATATTTTTTTAATAAAATCAAAAAAATTTACTCATTTTTTACACAAATTTTGTTCAACACTTTTTTACAATAAAATGCCATTCATTCTTGTCTTCCTTTCTCTATTTGCATATTTTCTCTCTTTACATCTGCACTGCACTATCACTCATATTTAAAATACCATTTACTTTGAAAACTTTTTTACATCAAATTAATTATCGTTATTACTGTCTTCTTCTTGTTTATCTTATTTATTAGGCTTTTGTAATCTTTGAATGCCAAAAAACCAAATATTGGTTTTATTCAATCATTTTTAAAAACTTTTTTTTTTTTTTTTTGCATTATTATTATTAACCAAGCATTAAGTAAGTGTTCAGCTTATATGCACTCATGTATTCTGTTCAAAAAAAAAAAAAAAAAAAAAAAAAAAAAAACTTTATATATATTATATGTATTTATAAGTATTACTTTATGCACTCAAAATTGAATGATGATAAAAACAAGTGCATGAAGCATGAAGGTTGTGGTCGACTTTCATATCATCTTTGTATGAAAAATTCGTTGAGAGCTAAACAAAATTAGGCGAAATGCTTCCAGAAATATGGTCATGGTTTCCTTAAGAGAGTCTAAAATAAGTCTCTTGTTCTTTTTTTCATATTAGCTTTACTATGCCCAAGAGAAATGAAATCTGTTAGATGTGAGTAAGTCGCATTGTTTAGCTAGCCAACTTAACTTATGTAGAATTCGGTTTGCAATTCGGTTTGTCGCATAGCCGAGTAGATAAGAGTCGTGACTATCAAGTCGGAGTTCGTGAGATTTCAATGCAGTTTTTGATCATAGTTGATCGTAGCTATATAATGAATACTTAGTCGGTTAAGGTATAACACTTACGATACTTATCCGCGACGTCACCCGCAATTATTACTTATATAAAAATAAAAAAAAAATGAAAGGGAAAGTGAAAGTGAAAAATTAGGAAAATGAGAGTCACAGTTGAAAATTGTCCCCTATAGTTAATAGTTTATAAAGTTGCGAATGGTATATGTGCTTATCTTACCGCGCACGCACATACACGCACAGACAAATCTCTAACAATCTCACATGTAATTATCAAATGTGCATATTTCGAGCATAGATTTTCAAAAAAAAAAAAAAATTTTTTTTTTGAAGAAATACTAAAGCATTTGTGGGAATAAACAATGACTTGGTCGCTATTTACGCCTACAACTAAATGCCGTGCAATGATATGAAAAAAATCTGCATAAAGTTTGCTTTCATTACTTTTGCTTTCTCCTCTTCTCTCCACGAAGCGGGCAGATGTTAAATGGATCCAAACTTTGTGATTTTGCTTTGTTATTATCTGCAAAATATTTGCGCTATTTGTAGACATATTCGAATCCGTACCATACTATAACCGTTTATGTGCTTTCATCCATTATGAGCCTTGTGATCATTTTTTTTAATTTGTTACAAAGCTTGTTATGACTTGTATACACTTCGATTTTTCGCAGTACATATATATATAAAATGGGAAAATTTTACTGAATTGAAAGCTTGTATGCATACTTTTAAAATCATGAAAATCACGCATGCATCAATTCAGAAAAGAAACATATTAAAAATCAATCCTGCAATCATCTTATTGACCATATCCACCTATGCTTAAATTGCATGAACAAATAAGCACATTAAAGCACATATAATACTCATACAAGCAACTTTGAATAATTAAATGCGTGGGTCTTATCCCTTCTAGATAATCTCTTAATGTATTTCAATCTTCTCACATATATACTTTTGTTTTTCATTACAAGCTTTTTAAATTTCATAAATTTTTTCACGACGAACGTACGAGAAAACGTTCAGTTACCACATCATTGGCGCGCATTTTTATTCTGCACTCTTAGCACAATTGCGATTTAAACGTTGATGATAAGTTCTCTGCTTAATTGTAGTATGCCAATGAGTCGTTTGAAGCATTCTACTACCGCATATTTACGTCACTTTGATAAATATTTGTGCCGAGTTTTATACTTTAAAAAAACAAAAAAAAGGAGAAAAAAAAAAAATTTGTGAAAACAAATTTTCAACAAAGTTTCATTTATTTGTATACTTACGCTCTGAGTGCAGGCGTAGCTTAATTTATTCATTTTATTTAAATCATTCATAAACATGCCCCCAAATATCTTTTTAGATACACTTAAGTCCGTTTAAAAGCTCTTTAGGCATACATATATATATATATATGTGTAGATGACAATGCTATCAGAAAACTCACTAAGGTTGCCGAAATAAATTCCGTTCCTCATAAAAATCGCTCGACGCACGAAGAACCTTTCAAGCATTAACCAATAATTTAAAAAAAAAAAAAAAAAAAAAAAAAAAAAAAAAAAAACAAGTAACTTGTAAATCGTCTTAAAGATTTTTGAATATAGAGCTCCTTTCCTATATACTATTTTCATTAAACATTTCAAATAAATAGAACGACTGTCATATAAAGGCGTATTCTTTGCAAAAATGAGATGGGCTTCAAAAGTGCTCTCTTCGCATTTCATTTTTGGTAATTTATGAAAATATTATATTTTTATTGCCAACTTTTGTTCTTAAATATAAAAATATAAAAACAATAAGACGAATGCAATTTTTTTTTTTCCTATAAAACTAGTTTTTCAAAATACGATATTATATGGAAGGGAATTTTGAAAATGTTACGATCCAATTGGGTTTGCATTTTGAACTTTTTTGGCCAAAACATATTCGCATACCGAGTTTCATCAAATTTTGTCAGAATTTACTAATCATGTATTCAATAATATTCGCTAGACCAAAATTGGACGGAGTGACGAACAAGCAGACTTAAATCGATTTAAAAAATAATTACATAACGAAGAGAAAGCATAGATTTTTTTTTTTTTTTGAACTCGTTTCGAATGTTTCATACAACCGCAAATATTTAGTATACTGAAGAAGATAACCGGTAGTAGTAGTAGTAGTAGTAGTACGGTAGAAAATCGATTTATGTTAGCTAATTAGTGTTCACCACGTTATCCAAGAGATTTACGATCGCAATCCCGGACCTTATGACGTATGTGCAATGATTTGACTTTGCAATGATCAACTATGCTTGATTTAAATGAGGACACTGTCGTATCGATGACATTAGTAGTAATAGAATGATTTGATGATATGAAAAATGTTATAAATTGGCCTCGACTCAATTGGGATGAAATCTGCATTCGATTGAAATTGGTCTTTGATTTCCCTAAACTGGGACAGCGATACGCTAAGTGAATTGATTCGGTTTGTTGCGCTTCAAAACAACTCAATCCGTCTCATTAATGAATGCATGATTCTCTTCATTCCGTGCAGTTTTGCATTTTATTAAATGTTGAGAATATGTCAACAATGCCTTTAGTTGACGTCAGCGTTAAAGTTAATGTAAGGTCGTAGGATGTAAGATTAATTAAAGTCTATACCGTCTCATGACTAAATGACGCACTTTGAAAATCTGAGATAATGAGAGAAATTAAAGCAAATGACACGACTTAATAAGACTGAAAAGAAGCAAATGTGAGCAACAATCAGCGCACACGATCCTAGTCATTGATTTTCTCACTCGCACGAATAAAGAGGATCGTGAATCATAAATACTTTAAGGACTCACTGCAAGTGTAGTCTCGCGCTTCAATGGCATGAATGCGAAAATTTTACTAACACAATCTTCGGAGTTTTGGGTAGTGATTTATATCTATAGGCAGATGAAAATTAGTTTTTTACTTAAACTATACACTTTAAATTTGTTTTTATTTTTATATTGTTGTTGTTTTTCTTTTTTTTCTGTTGTTTACTTTATCCACACATAACATGTATAAACACTGTAGGAAACCACATTTTAAATGACATTTTAGAATACAAAGTGTAAACACTATGCTTGCGGAATCAAACAAAGTCCGCTATTGATTGAGTGAATGATTGATTACCTGAAAAGAGAGGGTCACGCATAGGACGAAAATTAAAAATAAATAAAAAAATAAAAAAAAAAAACCTAAACTCGCTCTGTATACAATGAACAAATTCAATATTAACAGTGAAAAAGAAAGAAAAAAAAAAAAAAAGAAAAAACAACAACAACAACAATAAAAGCAACAGCATACTAACTAACATACCGCCTTTAGTCTGCTATAAATTGTCAAAGTATAAACAAACTAGTAAGGAACCAAGTTGGCCGTTTTTCCCCCTCTTTTTTTTTTTTTGCTTTTTTTTTTGCTTTTTTTTAGTTTTTACGCTCGTCAGGAAAGGTGGTAAGCATAATAGCTTTATCGCTGCGTTAGCGACACTCACAATTGCTTATCGGAGCTCTCATGCAGTATAATAATTAATCTTCAGGGGCATGTAAGATTTTAACTTGTTTTCCTCTGCCTTTGGCTCGTCTTGAGATTTTCGGACGGACGGAGTCGAAGCTATAAATCATATCGTAATCGGCAAATTTGCAAATCGGCGTGGATCGGCACGAATGTTAACAATTGAAAACTTAATAGATAGGTAGAACCTGGGAGGGCGCATTAGTGCACATTCAATGCGTTATAATATAGGTACAGGGTGCACAGGAAACGTTTTAAGGCGTGTATGGCTTTCTTTTAGTTTGTTTTCGTGTTTGTTTTTCCTTTTGTGCGGTCGCCGTTTGTCGCTGCATACAAAAGCTGTCAGTCAAACATTGGCGTACCGCAGTGAATGGCGGTGATGTTTAAATGATAACTTGTAAAAGCGCGCGCATTTATAAAATGTGAATACGATGAAAATAAAAGTTCTTCGCTCCCCTAACAGGTAAAAAAAAATAAAAAAAAAAAAAAAAAAACGAAAGAGATTTTCATCGCTGTTATTTTTTCATTAAAAACAAAAAGAAAAAGAAAAGCCAGAATAACCA